ATTACTTGTAGGACTGCATCCAAAATCTAAAGTAATCAAGACAGACATACAAAAATATCTTTTGGTAAAGAGATATCATTATCTTACACCAGATCATTATAATAACTGAAACTTGTAAACATTAACGTAAGCACCTCTGTGAAGATTTCTTAATGTTGTGGGACTAAAAGATTATATTGCACTCACTCAGGTTACAGATCTTCTCCTGTAAAGTCTGCAGTGAGCTGCAAGTACTACACAATGAAACAGCAGCACTCCCAGCCTCAGTATCAAAATTGTAATTTTAAAACTCTGCCTCAGCAACTGACACCCAAAAGTAACTGCAGACCTATGAATATCCTCTAGGTACTTGACTATTAAGACAAGCAATTAATGCATCAGTGCACATGCCAAAGCAATCAGCCCCTTGCTGACAGGGAGCAGCTGTGCTCTTCTCCAGACATTTGTCAGGACTGCAGCATTGGAGAACTGGGTAATACAAGAGCACAAACTTGAACTCCACCTCCTCTCGGAAAGATGCATCCCTGTAAGCCACGTCAGATAACAACGTCACCAAGCAGAAGCTGAAGTTTTCTGCCACTGGAAGCAAACCTGCAAAGTAATGGAGAGAAAATCAGCCACTTAAGACTTGATAGAGAGAACCAACATAGAAAGAGCAAACTGTAACAAAGCAACAAGACACAAGTGACTCTCATGTCATAAAGTTCTGAGGCAGATTGTACACAAAAGTAGTATTACATACAAAATTCAGAAGCACTCTAACCATCATAATTTCAGCATAAATGTTTAAAGAAAAATCAGAATTAAAAACCTTCCCAGGCTTTCAACTTATTAGAAATGAACCCTAATTAGATAATACTGTATAAAAGTATTCTTACACTAAGGGAGCAAAAAATGAAGTGATTTAAACAGCAACTAAGCATCAAAGCTAAAAGTAGAGCAACAAATCTCATGTTTCACTCTTCTACTCTAGCTACTACACAATCTTCTTCAGTTTAATAAGAAAATATATTGAACACAGAACTATTTGGAAAGTGCAATTCACCAAAAGCAGTAAAGCAGGAAATCAGGGACCTATTCAGCTTCCTCTGGCTTCTAAAGAAAATCAATATTAAAGGCTGCCAAGCCAGGAGCTAAGTAAGAACACAGCAGGACTTCTCCCCTCCCCTTGAACCATGTCCTGAACAACTTTTGCTATTTCTATCTCCTGGCTGGCATTCCATGACGAACATCAAAAAGTCCAAACATCACCTCTGCCTTTCCGTGCATTGCTTTCTTCTATCCACTGAACTTTGGGAAGGCCCTTCATGAGTCGCAGAAGGTAAGGAACCACATTGTCCTTGTGCTAAAGAAGAAAATATTCTATTTAAAAAGGAGAAAAAAAGCTGAACTATATAATCTCAAGATACTTTAGAGATATGGTAAAATGACATTAGCATACACAGAACTTGCTTCTAGTGATTACTCCACAGGCTTCTTAACTATTGCAAAACTGATTTCAAAACAAGCAAATGAAAGTAATCCAATTCAATGCCTTAAATCCAAGCCTTTCACTCCAGACAACAGCTCATTCTCTCTAAAAGCTGGAGAAGAAAGTTCCAGGACAGTACCTAACCTCAAACGCTTTATTAATTGACAGCAAGCTCCCAAAATAAATTTAAGACAGCTAGAAATTCAGAGTGCCAGTACCAATTCAGTACATATGATGCATCCCAGGGCCTTACACAAGCCACTTAACACATCTAAGTAACACGTCAGCTCCCTCACCTGCAAATCAAAGCACAGTACAGCTGCCTTATGAAAAAAAACCCCAAACAAACACAAAAATAAAAAGAACAAGGTCAATAATATCCATGCAAGCTGTACCATAGCACATGGGTACTAAATAGGAGGCAATTCAGGCCTGATGCAAACCTTAGTAATATGAAAGAATTTAAAGGCCTAACAGCACTGGACCTGAGGCTCTGTCCATGCTTCTCCTCCTCTCCACAGAACAATACCAGGCCCAGCAAAGGGAAGAGAACCAGCTTGTGCTGGCCCTGCTGGCAGACACAGAAGGGATGCTTGTGTACAATGCAGCCTGTGTACCCTGTCTGTTTATCCTGGCATGAAAGGGCCTATTGCAAACCTGGCCTTCAGGAGGGCATCGGAGCATCCCTGTCAGTCAGGAGCATGTGGGGAGGAAAATGCAATGACACACTTAGTTAGAGTAAATCCTGCTGAATACTCTTTCCTTTCTCTGCTTAAGCCACAATGACCAGAAAACACAGCAGCAGTTTGGCTGTGGCAGTGCCATGGCTACTGCCCATCACACTTATCAGTATTTCCTTGCTCCCCTGACAGCACCCATTCCTTATCTCTGATCTTTTTATCTACTTTTACAAAGAGCAAATACCAACTTTTCATTCATTGATCAACTCAAATTAGTCCAAGATCTTTGAAGGTAAATAGGTAGCCTAAGGGGGAAAAATACCTGAAGATCAGATTCAACTAGGAAGATTCCTAAAGCAATAACAGCATCCCTGCGACGTTCATCCAACTGGAAAATCCCATGGAAATCCATTGGACACATACAGAGCAGCTTTTGTACCTGAAAAACAGCAGAGGGAATGAACAGTGGAACAAGATTGGAAACCAATTTGAAGCTTGTTTGAAGTGCACAGTGGTCTCTCCACCTTCTGGAATACATTTGGCAACATTACCCTCCTTCCGTCATCCATCTCACTGAGAACATCCAAGGGCAAGGAAAGACTGAGGAATGACAGAAACCAGAAAAAGGCAGAAAAATCTCAAGTAGATGTCAAACGTTTTTACTACAACGTAAGTCAATCTAAAGGTATTCTTCAACACTTGATCAAAGTGCTGAAGTATGATAAAGCCTTAGTTCCACTACTTCACTTTTAGGTGTGCAGGAAATGTGCAGCAGAACTTTTATTATATTTACTCAATTCTTGTAAACAAAAAACAGGTGGATGGAGCTTTGATTACCGCTGTACCAATGCCTCCTACATATACAGCACTGAAAAATTACCTGTTACCAACCTCCAACCTAAGTATGACTCCTGCTCAAATCCTTTCAACATAACAGATTAAGTATACAGAGTTAATATTTTCTCACTATTCACCTATTACTTTATTCCATACTTAACAAACACACATTTAAAGACTACATCAAATCTCCCAAATACTTTCTTCTTCTGTGGAATTGTTAACGAATGGGAAATGCAACAAGCACATTTTCTTTTTATATATTTCCTTGATGTTAATAAATACTATCTAGAAAGGGCCTTCTTTATAAATAACTATGTTTGACTCACCTGTGTTTGAATGTGAAGTCACTTCCTATTTAGATAACTCTCTGAACATCCCCCCTTGACATTTCTAAAGCAAGAAACAACCTCCCTAGAGGATTAGAAAAATTGACTGGATGTTCAGTGAAATTCTAGGTTCTGGTCCTTCAACTGCCAGACCTCCTAATTTCAAGACCTGTAGTACAAAACAGATAATCCTCTTGCTCAGTATAAAATACAGCAGAGGAAATATGAACTTTGGAAGATGACTGCTGATACATGTGTTCCACATCAGGTTACGTTTACAATAACATGAGTGAGCAACTCTGGCTATATATGAGCTGCTACTATCATTGAACTGCTGTATTCTGCCAAACTGGGGAAAAAAACTTAAACACCTGGATATTTGTGAACCAACAGCAGGGCACAGGAAAATTATCCACCGTTGGCAGCGACACCAGCGGAACATTTCCAAACAAAAGATAAGAAAAGAAGGCTGCAACAGCTGGCTGAAAACAAGCAGTATAATTTTCATCACCACAGAGCGGTGCACCACTGCCTGATGCAACTGGGACATGCTGTAAATGGGTGCCCAGTCCCAGCACGCCAGGTTGTCCATCCCTGCTGCGGGGGGAGCGGGGCAGCCCCTCGGGGGCACTGCCCACACGGATCCCCGTGGCTCCCCTTCGGCAGGGCTTCATCTCACCCGGCACCGGCTGCCTCGCCTGCATTTAACCAGATACGCGGCGGAAAGCAACCAGCCCTAATTAAACTGAGACTAATTATTCCCACAAGCCTATATTCTACAGATCAGGGGGACACGCAGCAGGATCCAGCTCCTTGCCCCGAGGGTGCGCTGCTGTTCCGAGTTTTTGGGTCAAGCTGGCCCACAGGAGCATCCCTGAGGCCCAGCTGCCCCGAAGGCACGGCCGGACGAGGCTGGGCTGACAGAAGCCCCTCAGGGCCCACAGAAGCCCCTCAGGGCCCACAGCCAGGCGCCCCCCAGGGCATCCCCCGGCCCGCGGGGCCGCTCGCCGCCCCCAGCCCGCCTGGCAGGGCCAAGGGGGCGGGCGGACACCCCCCACACGGCACGAACAGAGGGGCACGGACGGCGCCGAGCGGGCTGCTCCGAGTCCTGTGCACACAGAGGCCACCAGCCCGCGGCACGGCCCCCGCCACACGCGGCTCCCACGCGTGACAGCCCGGCAGCCGGCACACGCACAGCGCCCCGCGCGGAACTGCCGCTCCCCACAACCGCCCCTCACCTTCTCCAGAGGCGCCGGGTTCTGCACCGCCAGCGACCGCGCCAGCGACAGCACCGTGTTGAAGTAGAAGCCGCGCGCGGTGGCCGCGCTACTCCCGCGCCCCGCAGGGCCCGCGGAGGGAGCCGCGGCGGTCCCGGCCGTGGCAGCCGCCGTCCCGGCCGCCGTCCCGGCCGCCGCCGCCGTGGCCGCCGTGGCAGCGGCCGCCGCTGCCGCCGCCACCGCCGCGGCCGCCATGTTGTACGGGAACGGCGCCGGCCGGCTCGGCCCGCCCCCGCCCGCGAGATCGGCGCCTCTCGCGGGAGCACAGCGCACCAATCACGCCGCAAAGATGGCAGCGCCCTGCGCGGCTTCACTTCCGCCCGGTGGCCCGCCCTCCCTGCCCGCGCCCCTCCCTGCGCAGCCATCCCTCCACATACTTCCCCCTCCCCCCGCCGCAGTGGTTCCGCCCAGCAGCCGCCTGTCTGCCAGCGGCGCTGCGGCGCGCTCACCCCGCCCCGCAGGGGGGAAGGCGGTCGGTGGCTGCGCCCAGCGCTTCCGCCCGGCGCTCGGTGCCGTGGGCAGAAGCGGAGCGGCCGCGGCCCGAGGCGGGGGCTCGGGGGCTCCGTGAGGGGCTCGGACTCCTCGCGGACGCTCCCGCGGTCGGCGGTGCCATGTCGGCGCTCCCGAGGAGCTACAACCCGTTCGCGGAGGACGAGGAGGAGGATGCGGCGGGTGCCGGCGGGGCGGGCGGCGCGGAGCGGCAGCGGTACCTGCAGCAGGAGGTGCTGCGCCGCTCCGCCGCCACCGCCGACAGCACCACCCGCTCCCTGTCGCTGCTCTACGAGTCCGAGCGCATCGGCGTGGCCGCCTCCGAGGTGGGTCGGGCCGGAGCGGAGCCCTCGGCCCGGGGCAGCCGGGGGGGAGCGGCCGCAGGGCCCGAGGCTCCCCTCGCTCAGCCCTGCGGGAGGGGACCCTGCTTCTCCCTGTGTCCCGAGAGTTTCCTGCTAAGTCCCTTTTTGCTCAGGGTTTTCCAGCCAACCTGGCCGTGTGTTTTCGGGGTGGTGGCGTTTGGGTTTTGAGGGAAAAATCCCAGTTACAGCCCGTGTGTGTGAATAGTACTGAGGCTGGGATTGCGCCGTGTTTTCAGCTGCTTTCAGCAGTTCTTACTAATTTTTAGCTGACTAAAAAGTTTTTTTAGCAGTCCTCTTGTTTAGATGAAGGGCCTTCCCTGTAAGTTGTTTGTGATGTGCTTCGGTTCACTCTGATTAATCATTTCCTTCATTCCTGAGGCTCTGTTTCAGCGCTTTGTGCTCAGGCTCGGGTCTTATCCATTGTGTCACCTGCTATAATGAGATGCTCCTTGGGTGATGTGGTTGCCTAAATTAACCCCAGAGCATCCCCAAGCTGCAGCTGCAGCCAGTCCTTATGCTCAGAGGGTTCTTGGTGGGACTTCTGTGAACTTTCAGACTCGTGATTTATTTGTCCAGGAAATCACAAGTGAAGAATCAAGAATTCAGGCTTGACACAGGGCCTGTGGTAAAACTTGAAGTCTGTGTGTTTGTGCTTTATTGACAGGGCAAAAAAAGGAATATTCAAGTAAAATTTCCCAGACTTTAGCAAGAATATGAACACAAGTTCTTTGTTTTGCACTGGTGGTAGCTGCAGGCAACTTTCCTGCTAGCATTAATCTTTGGATTACTTTGGAAGAGCGCTTGTGCTGCTGAAATAGAAAATAATGTACTTCTATATATAAAATTTTCTAAATCCTGCACTGCTAAAATTAATTAAAATATTTCTGAAGTCTGAAGAAATTCTGTTTGTTTATTTTCTTTATTTCCTTTGGTTATTCTATTTCTAAATTATCAGAAACATCCCAGTAAGGTGAAAAAAGAATCCCTTCCCAATGAAAGTGCCATTCATAACTAGAAATTGTCCTGCTTGTCCTGCTAGAAATTCATCTGCTGTAAACTTGTGCGTTTCCACATCTGGTGGTCAGCCATAGATGAAAATGTCAGCTTGGCAAAAGACTAGTACAGAAAACTGGATGTTGTTTGTGCTAGGTTGCAGGAACCTGGCTTGTCTCAGGATTTTACAGCTGGTTAATGCAGTGGCTGACATGCAGCTGTTGATTGAAATGCCCTGGAGGAAGGGGAGCAAGGGAAAAAGCTGTTTGCCCTCAGAAATAATCTGCACAGATGAAGGAATGCTGTTCTTTTTCTTCAGAGTGACACCTTTAGTGCAGATTGTTTGATGTCTCAGTTCATCCTGGGTGTATGATCTGGTTTTCTGTCAATGCCCCTCAGGAGCTCGTCCGTCAGGGAGAGGCGCTGAAGCGCACGGAGCAGATGGTGGATAAAATGGACCAGGACTTGAAAACGAGTCAAAAGCACATAAACAGCATCAAGAGTGTTTGGGGGGGCTTGGTAAACTACTTCAAAGCCAAACCACCAGAGAGCAAACCAGAGCAGAATGGAGCCCCTGAATATTATGGTAACAGCAGGTAAGTAACATAAACTTATTTGAGACTTGTCTCCCATAGCATCTCTGAAATATCATCAGAAAATCAGAAAATAAAACGTCTGTTGGTTCTTTCAAACTCCTGTAAACTTCTAAGGTGGTCTAGCTACCTTTTTTCTTTAATGCTGAGGTCAACAGCAATGCTTTCTTTTTAATTTTTTTACTAGGTTAAAAGAAGCAATGATGTCTAGTAAAGAACAAGAGTCAAAATACCAGGAAAGCCATCCAAATTTAAGGAAGCTAGATGATTCAGGTTTGTTAACTTCATTTTACACTGAATGCCTGTCATCTATGTGGGACAAATTTGCAGTGATGAAGGCAGAGACCCTTTCAGCCTGCCCAGCTGCTGACTTACCTTGCTGCCTAACATCTGGAGATTGTATCCCAACCTTCATGCTTTGAATACTAGGGAATTGTTTCCATTAATCTCTTTATATCCATAGTGAAGATGTTATACCTGCTAGAGACTAAAAGCACCTGATGCTTATATTTGCAGAGAATGCTCACAGTGTGCAGACAGTGTTTCCCTAAGTTTGCCAAAATGTTACACATTCAGAGGTTCTCCTTTTAGCCATTGTTTGTCATAGTTTTCATATACATTATCCTTGTTATTTCAGACATGGATTCTAAGCCTTCATACTGATGTCTTGATTCTCAGAAGGCGGTGTATGGCGTTTGGCCTCATTCTCTCAATCTGTTAAGTTCTATGAGGGCTTTTCCGTACTAAATAACTGTTTCTTTATGAAGGGCCTGGGTTATTTAGCACAGCGGGAGCGGGACAGCAGCAGGATGTCTGTCGGTGATGTTGTGGAGTAACGCAGTGAAGGTTTGGGGCTCGGTCCCGTGCCGCTGCGTGCGGTGCCGCGCTCCGGGCAGCAGGGGGCAGAGCGGCTCCCGGTCCCCGTCCAGCGCTCGGGTGCGCGCCGGGGGCTCCCTTTGCTTTTCCCTCCCAACTCCCGACCACAGCTACAAGTGTCAGCCCAAAAGAGAATAATCGTAGAGAGCTGGCTATAGACAATGGTCTTGGGCTACTCCTTGTACTCTGGTTATGTGATTACCTGGCAGCTGTGTGCAAACTTGATTTTTAACAGCCTTGCTGAAACTTCAAAACCTCTTCTCACATGCTTTTTCATTATATAATATTCTGTACTCTATACTTTTAACAGACAATGACTTCAACAAAGCAGATTTCGTTTCTTCAGTACAAAGGGATGCCTACCCAAAGAACCAACAACTGCGAGCTTACCACCAGAAAATTGATACCAACTTAGGTGAGTGGGGAAACTGAAGCTGTTTGATGTCATACAATTGCCAATTTCTGATTCCTGAGCCAGATAAAATAATTTATATATTGCCAACTCTTTTTTGTTTAGTTAACATGTAAAATTTGATGATAATTTTAAAAATCATTTGCTTGTATTTGCATTTCAAAATTATCTGCACGGTACATCAGTTTAGACCCAAATAATTTAAAGCAATGCACAGCTTTTGAAATACACGTTTTGCTAAAAATTGCTAAGAATTGAAAGGCATCAGATATTTAACTTGTGGATTTGCTGCATTTCTTTTATTACTTCTCAAAACCATTCAGGTGAGTTTGCCTTCCTTTGTTCTGTAGCATATAGACAAAGTGCCTGTTTGCTTACATGTGTCACTGTGTAGCTGACCTAGAAAGAAGAGGTTGGGAAAAAATCAGAAAGGAATAAATCAAAAAGAAATAGTCATAAGAGCTAGTGGAAGCCCATTTTTTCTGTTCACAAGCTGTGGAAAAATTAATAGTAATATGCTCAATCATGCAATGAAATTGTCACCTTTTGGTCAATTAGAAAATCTAGAAATGGGAATGTTTAATCTATGATAAATAACTGCTTAAATCTGCAGCTCACTGGTGTCATTTCTGCTTGAAGTTTAAAGAAAAACATTCGAGGTAGTGAGCTGTGTATGTTGAGCAGAGAACATATGTACCAAATTTTCTATGAGATGCATTTTAAAAAAAAGGTAAAAACTATATTACAGGGCATGTAATTTGATAAAGATCCAGTTTGGTGTTAAGCATTTGCTTAACACCAGATGTAAAATGTAAAAAAGGAGGAAGTGACCATTTCTGGTAGTAACAGTACAACTATGAACATACCAGTGCTTCCTCTATTTCAGAGAAATTTGACACTTGAGGAATTGTATCTAACGTTTTCTAACCCAGGCTTTTGGAGAAAAAGGAATCCTGATGGTGTCCAGATAATCTGTGTTGTAGCACTCTGATTCCTTATGGTCCCTCTCTACCCTGGCAGATGAGATGTCTTCTGGGCTGAGTCGCCTGAAAAGCCTTGCTCTTGGCCTGCAGACTGAGATAGAAGAGCAGGATGATATGTTGGATCGGCTCACAAAGAAAGTAGAAACACTGGATGTCAACATTAAAAACACTGATAGGAAAGTCCGACAGCTTTAAAGGATTTTTAGAATTTCTTTTGTTCAGTGTTGGTTCATCCTGAATGCCTCATCTCAACTGATCTCTTACAAAAAATCTTGGGCAATATCTGTTTCCCTTTTTTTCTGCTATGTTACTGGTTTTGTTGTCATTAAAATTACGTAGCCTTAAGTCAGCACAATACTTTACATTTCCTCTTAGTCTACATGGGAAAAGTGCATGTGCAGTAAAATCTCTCAGTGTTGGGTCAGGATGCCCCACTCAGTTGTGTAAGCATGTCATGTGCGTGGAGGAGTTGGCACTCCACAGAGCAGCACTGTCCTTGGCCTGGGAGCTGTGATGAGAAAAGGAACTGCGTTTTTGCCTCTGTTTTGGGGAGGGGGCAGGGAGAACAGAATGTGCTGCTTTGTTCAGAAGAAATGTTGCTAATTCTGTTTACCTACAGATATGTTAAATTCAGAAAAAATGCTGATTTCCAGCTGTAAAAATATTTTTAAGTGACTGTTCTGTGGCATTTCTGGGGCTTAAGGAATGAACTGTTCTGTGGAAGTTGTAAAATATCAAGGGTGTCATGCAGTAATGGTAATATCCTGTGTGTGTTCCCTTTCCTAAGATGACTTTGCCCAAATGGTGCATCCACAAATTGTGGTTTTTATGTTTAGGTAACTAAATAGTTTTGCCTTTACAGTCTTGTCAGTAAAGATCTCTAAGGATATTTTATGGTCTGCAAGAAATGTTCATTGACAGTGACCCAAAATGTTTGGGTAACAAAATCAGGACTTAAATGTATGTGCTCTTAAAGAGTCTTTTGCAGAAATGGTCACCATCTGTTTTTAATTTTCTGCTCTTTCTCAGCTTATTCATTTAGGTGGTTATTTGAAAAAACAGCTTCCAGTTTAGAAATGGCAAGTTGTTCTGATAGTGCCCAAACAGATTGTAGAAGATTTTTCTTTAGTGTTTATTTCAAATGTGATTACTGATGGAGCATGGGCTTTACTAAGTAATGTGACTGTTAAGGAACTCCACTATTGGCTTAGTAGGTATTAATAATTCCTGCAAATGAAGAAAAGCCCCAAACCATTTTCGAGTCTTCCAGACAGAAGAACATTTTGCTTTGTTCTTTTGTAGGGGTCACTGTAGAACAAAAGCACAATTCTGCTCCAGCCTGAAGACATGACAGCAAGAACTTGCTGTCTGTCTTGACAGACAGGGTTGAGTTGTGAATTAGATTTAAGGTGAGACTCTGTTCCCGTTGTCACTGATGGCATTGATTTCAGTCCCCCCCCCCCAAAACAATTATTTTGGAGGGACATAAAACTTCAAGAGTAGTTGAATACCTTTAATTGCTTTTTAATTTTTCAGTTTGTATAATTTACACACATCAAAAATTATAAATAGCCTATTAATATTAATACATCATTTTACTGTTTGGGTTTATACCATGATTAATTATCTTACTCTGTTAGAATATTTATTAATGATATAATTTGATGTCTCAAGACACTTGATAAATTTATTTTGTAAATTATATAGTTAGTGTTCATATGTTAAGTACCTCAGTGAAGGAAGATCAACATTTTGATTATAGCTGGTTTCGTTTCTCATTTGTTTAAATAACACTTCTTTTAGTGTGAAATCTGCCTTCACCTGTAAGCAGCTGTGTCACAACTCAGTGTTTGATAACAAGGATGGACACTGAGACTTTCTTGACTAAGTTATGGCAAATGGAGGAAAAATGTCACTGCAGGATCTGGTTGTGTTATATGTAGTAAGAAATCTGGAGCTTGAATCCAAGTAAAAATATTTAAGGGTGAACTGTGGTGCCTTTCTGATGTAAGCTATTCCATTTTTAGTCTAAATTACTTCACAGAATTAACTCAAGTTTTTGAGCAAATGTTTAGTTGTATTGGCCTTATGAAATATTCAATGCATCCTGGATATCTTGGATGCCTTTAAAAACACAGGCAGGGAAGGGAAATAAAAAAGAATCCCTATTTCTGCTTTGGGAATAAAAAATAAATCCCTATTTGTACTTTGAGAACAAGCAGAGTAGAAACCCAGGATCTCAGCCATGTGGAATCTACACAGAGGTCTAACTCCTCATGGTGTCTAACAATCCCATTCACTGCCTCAGTAATGTATGCCTGCCTTTGTTTAGGTTTTCTTTTTTTCTATTATTTTTGTTTAGTTTTAATGACCTTGTTTTAAAGGATCATTTCCCACACTGGGTTTCCTTTGGGGGCGGGGGGAAAATGGTGTATGGATATAAAACAATTTCTGCTACAAACTGAATTGCTTGTCTCTGCTTTCATATTGATTTTTGCTGATAACAAACTTAAATCTAACTGACATGAGGAGACACCACTATTTTATAATAGTGATGATGTTTTTTATCTCTTGGAATAATTTTCCATCCTACAGGAAAAGGAAATTTAAAGGAAAATAACAACATGATTTTTGCTTTTCCAAGAAATGCTATTTTGCATGTATAGTGAAGGATCTACTTCAGTAGCTTTTCTTACTGTTTCCTCAGATGGACTTTTATTTCTTCTTGGATACTGTTGAAAAACTTAAACTCTGTAGAGTCCAGGACTTTCAGAAGAAGTTTTATTTGCACTCGTGTGCTAATTTTTGATAAAATAAATTATTTTGCCTGCATATTCATGTTGGCATATAAGCTGGTGTTCTTGCAGCAAAATAGCTCTGGTTAATTTTATTGGCTTGGATAGGAATTTAATAAGGTCAGAAGAAGATGGCAAAAAATATTTAAGTATTCTTTATAAATGGCAATTTGCCAGTTTCTCAAAAAGTTTGCTAATCAATTTTGAAGAGATCTTAAACACTGGGAAGCAGCATATGCCCTTCATAACACAGGCATAAAATTCTAAAAGCAGCAAGGAGAAAGAATGGGAATAACCAGTATCTGATGACTAGACTCCTAGGTGTATTTGATTTTTAAGTTTCCTGACCACTGAATTAAATCTTGTAACAAATGATAGGTAGCTAAATTTTAGACTGTACTACACAGATTTTTTTTCTGTGCTGAGCTGTATGGACCCTACTGAAATCATTGGGACATTATGATGTCAGGAGCTCTTCTAATGTGTGAAATTTACCTGAAATATTTTGCTGCCTAGTAGTTTTTGTGATGTCATTTGTTAAATGGTAAAATAGAAAATACTTTCCAACCAGTCTGCCTTCTGAACAAACATTTTTGTAGGCATTTTTACAAGCATAGCATCAGATGGAAGATATGTGTTAATTTTTACTTTGAAATACATAGGACTTAATTTTCAAATCACAAGTAGTGATTATTTGTGTCTATGGCTTTTCAAAATAGAACTTTAATTCTGTGCCACCCAGATATAACACTTTTTGTACAAGTCAAATTGCATTATCATTTATTTAAATGCTAAACTGGACTGTAGTTCAGCAGTTGAAGAGCTTGAACGGACTGAGTGTTGAATGGTAAGACAGTCAATAAAAGGTGCTTATTGTTAATGAAGAGTTGTTGCATTTATTTCCCGCATTTTTTTAATCACAACTTCATTGATACTCTTCCCCCATAATATCTGTTAAAACACAGGACCTATTCTGTTAAGTTTGTACCACCATGGACATAATTTTGCAGCTGGTGGGTTTTGTTTTCTGAGAATAAAAGAGGGTATGACATTTCTATGTTATTCTTGAGTAGATTCTCTTAGATCCTGAGAGAGGAATGTAAACCAGCATTTATTTTTGCGAAAGAATTTATTTGTGATGATAAAATAATTCCAGATGTTGCTTAAAAAGTAACCAGGAATATCAATAACTGGATGTATGAACATGAGACAGGTGAAACAGAAATAAGGCAAAAAAATATACGAACCTTTTAAAAAACTTTCTTGTGGTATTTGTGTGATGGTAGAAAACTTGTGAATGTCTTGACCTTCAGGTAGGTTCTTACTTGTATGTGAAGGGAAGAACTTGGCTTCTGAATTTTTTTGCAGTAGAGTTTAATTTTGTTTGATACTGTAACACAGAGATTCAGCAGTGCTATTTAATACAAAAACTCTGAAAAAAGGAATGTTAATAGAGAGACTGGCAGATTTTTTTTTAAATTCAGATTACTTTGGTTTGCTGCCTTTTTGCTGAGAGTTCTTCAACAAATGGGAATTGAGAGTGCTTCCATCTCTGCACTTAATTGTTGCATATAGGGAAATCAAAATATTACAAAGAGCACAGTAGGAGATGACAGAGAATGGAGCAGTGCAGTGGATTCTGGATCTCTGCTAGGAATATTAATAGTTTGCTTGCTCTCTGGCATGTGAATCAGTTTGAGTCTTAAGGATATTTCTCACAGCGGTTTGTTTATGGCTGGTCAGGCATTTCAACCCTTTGTGTTCTCTCAAGGACGCCTGGCTTACAGTGCAGTCCCTGCTCTCCTGGGGAATGGGTGAGGAAGGGGAGGTAAAGGATGCTCATCCAAGTACATGACACCAGGCAGAGCTGGGGCTGTTGGAATGAAGGACCCCATAGTTCTGCCTGCTGCTCTCCCTGCTTTTGGAAAGAGGTTTGGCTTTAAGAGGGAGTTCTACAATTTTCGTTTCATTTTGGTAGGTTGGTTGGTTTGTTTGCTTCCAAATAAATTTATTGCCAATTCCCAAACTGGGAAAATAGGAAGCACAACCCCACTGGGGCTAGAACTGAAGGGATTGGTAGGGTTTAGTTGAAAGCAAGCAGGGAGGTGCCCCAGAATAAACAGGCTGCCAAATCAGGAAGATCCCTGAATGCCTGGCACAGTTTACTAAATACAGTGACTGTGCAGCCCTGCCTCCACTATAAAAAGCCTAGATGAACTGTGATTTTGCTATTGGCAAGGCAGAACCTTCTAGAAAATGGGCTTCCAGCTCTAGCTGTGGCTATTTTGTTGAAAACAGTGGGCCTCCTTGGCATCTCCGTGCAAGATGACTCCTTTTTCCTGCACTTTAACTGTAAATCTGCTCTCTGTTAATGACAGCAGCCACTGGCCAGCACTGAGCTCTACTCCAGGCCAGCACTCTGAAGAGCTGCTGAATTTGTCACTTGAACCAACCTTTGGCCAGCCCTGGGGTGTCTCACAGCCTGCCAGGGTCAGTGAGGGCAACAAGAGTATGGAGTGTGCCACCAAGGCCATGCACATGTGCCACCATAGATGTGGGCATTAACCCTCCAGTGTAGAAAGAAGAAAGTTAGGAATGGGTATGTCAGGTGCTGACAGCCCTAGAGCGGGAGCCACTGCCCAAAAGAGGTTATAATTTCAAATCTCACATGTTAGGGCAGTTGGGAAGAATTACAGTTTGCCTTCCTTTGATTTTACTTCACAAAATTTCTTACTGACGTTATATATTTTGTAAACTGGGTAGTCTGGTTTCTTTATTCCTGACTTCCAATTTCTTCCTTGCTCTTTCATCCTTTAAATTCACTCAGTCTCCACCTATGGGGAAGACAGCTTAGGGAGGAGTTTTTCTTCAGTATGCCCTCACTGGTGTATTGATTTTTGCCAGTTCTAATTGAGTTTGAATTATGTAGGTATTAAAATCTGACCTGATTGCCCTACAATTTGAGCCCCAAATTTCTCTTAGAGCTTCTGTGCTCTTTGTTTGTATGTAATGTTTGTTGAGTGGGTGCCTTTGAAGAAAAATTCCTGCAGGGATTGCCTTGTGTGAAGCAACTGCAAAGGGTGGTGGTGCAGTCTGCTCTTGGCTCCCAATAAGACCCAGGGTAAGTTACATGGATCCAGGGCTGGGTTACTGCAAGCCAGTGCTTCCAACCTCAGGTCTTCAAAGTCTTAACTTTATGGTTCTATTTTCACCATTTCCTTGTGCCTGGGTTGGCCAACCTGTTTACACCTCAGCCCACTGATCCTCTTGGATGATGATGAAAGGATGTTCCTTCCCTCTTTGAGTGAAGACTGGGCAAAGAGGCAGCCAAAATATCCAGCAGTTTGGTATAAATAGGTAATGTAATAAAGTAAAGGTTGAAACCCGATTGCATCCACCTGCTCACGGAGAAAGCTTTAGAGGAACTACATCAGCTTGTATTTTTTCTCCTAGAATAATGCAGGTAGGATGACCAGGACTGAATGCCCAAAGACTTACTACTTATAATTTTACTTTTAGGGGAAGCTAAGAACCCTCAGAAGGCAGGATATTGATGGAGACTCAGACAATTCCAGATTATTTTCTGCCCTGAAAATATATAGGCTGCTAACAGCACTGCAGAGAAGACCTGTGAGTCATTTTATCTGCTTTGTTGTACATTGTTGTTACAGGCTGCTGACATTTCTGGCATTTAATTTTGTTCCCAAAGCTCCACACAGTCACACAGCATGGATAGGAGCTAGCAGGGTTTGTGGGTGCCTTTGGGATCCTCCCTGTACGTGCTCAGAATGCAAGGCAGGCACAGTCAGTGACAATGCAGAGCCCACTTTGCTGCAGCCAAACTGCCACTGCCACCTCTTCTCCTCATGCTCCCTGTGCAGGTGTGACTAAGACAGGTAGAAAATATTCATCAGTACATACTGTATCACCATATGGAGATAAAGGTGTTTTTTCCTAAATGACATAGTTGCAATAATTCAGTGATGGGTTAATTTTTCCTCAATGACCTAAAACTGAATTGCAACATTCAGCAAAGTGCAGGTGAGAAAACAAGCTTGTGAGGGGCCTCTTATGAAGGCACCAACCTTATTGAGACACAGAACAACTCTGGCATGCCCTGAAATGGCATTTTTGGCATTTTGCAAATTGTAGCCTTTGTCTCAAAAGTTAAAAACGGCCTTCTAGATACAGAAGTGCTTTAGCAGCTCTGATTTGTCCTTCTTCTAATTAGGTGTCAGTCTTCCCAGTTAAACCGAAATATCACTGGGAACCTTTGCACTGAATGACACCAGAAAATATTGAACAAAGATCCCTCTGCTTCTTATGCACATGCCTCCTCTTAATGCTCACTTGGATTAATTTGAAGAATATCCTCCCATAGCAGTACTATTTTCAAAAGTCCATATAAGTTGTAGTCCTGCTCATCTATCTGATCTTTCATCACCAACTTTGGAAAGTTATTTTCCTTAGCCATATCCCTCAGCAATTTTCCATGCCATCCAAGCAATACATTCATTACTGAAACTTGTGTGATTTAATAATTTCCTGGCACAATAATTCCAAAACACGTGGGAGGAAAAACGGAGAAAGATTTTTCCATCTCCAGGTATTTATTTTACTGCATGAATCCTTGCTCTTGACCCCTTTGAATGGCTTTCTGTTGAGCTGGATTTCAGATGCTTGTCGAGCACTTCTCTGAGAAAGACTTTCATCCTTGCAGCCAAAGGTGGAGGAAGGGAAGCTCATTCAGAGGAATCCCATGTACCCGACTGCTGTAGCATTTCCAGCTTCAGATTTATGGAACTGTTTTCTTTTCCACAATCTCCATAATCTAAACAAACACCTTTTTTTTTTCAATCACCTGCTTTACTAATCAATGTTTGAAATGCAATATTGAGGCCTTACTCTCCACTCAAGCCAGCTGTGCTGGGTTTACAGTGGCAGCCTGCCAGGAGCCTGAGGGCTTCACCTGTGCCCAAGTGAGGTAGGGTGAAGAGCACAACCACAGCAACTCTTCTGGGGGACAGCCCCACATTGCTGGTTTCCAATGACAGAGCAGTGGGGTCTGGGTGCACTGAACAGTAAGACACTGGAGCCTTAAATTAGGCACGTACTTATTTAGGAAATAGGTGTGTATTTATGTTGAGCACCACATTAAAACCATCAAGCTTGTATCTTCGCTGTTGGGCACGTGTAGATGTACTGCTGAATCAGCCTGGCTGTGTTAATGACCCCAGTAGATCTCCAGGGAATGTCTCTGCTTCCCCACGTGTCTCAAGTGTCAGGGTTATGAAGCTGATTCCTGTGAGAACAATTTTCATTTGTTATTTGAGAGAGTCATTAATTCCAACATACTCTTCCCTGGAGTAGTGATAAATAAAGGCATTAGATAGCATTTCAAGATACATTTGTTAAGCCTCTCCCACCATTTTTTGTACTTGCCCAAAAGTATAAAATGAAAAATCAGGAGAAGGAAGAAAACTTCTGATGAGTCTCGGATGCTCTGTTGCCCAATTGCTCAGTCATCTGTAGGCCATGTAGTACAACATAATATAGTTTTATTTTAACTCTCATCAACCGCTCTGCTGTTTTAGTACCTCTGTAGTACGGAATGACTGGAAGATTGCCAAGTAAGAGGAAGTCTGTGTGTGAACAGCCGGGAGGGATAGTATGTAAATCTGCTGGAAAGAAGCAATTAAAGGCAGCATTGAGATATAATGAAAAATAGACAATATTGAGCCTCATCAGAAATAGCAACATAAACAGCAGCTACTGTACTGTGAAGTGAACTTTGCTGTAAATAGCTGCATTTTACAGAAAACAGATGGTTTATGAAGTCTGTGAGGAGACTTACAGAAAGCAGTTTGGTCTTTTTGGTCTTCAGGAACACATCTACATTGATGTTTGGCATGTCCTCCTGGCCCAAAGGGACAAAAGGTGGCTTCTTCCTGCTGCTGTATTTACAGAGTCCAGAGGGGAGCTGCAAAGTTAGATTACAGGCAAGCCAAGTAGAGCTGAAAATAATTCTGCATGTCATATGTAACTATGAATGGAGATGACAGAGGAAGTGATATCTGAGTTCAGCAGTGTAATAGATGCTGCCTTGTTTTGTAACCCAGCAGCTGAGGAGGCAGCACGCTAGTGAAAAGGTCTAACACACAGGTCTCTGGTTAGGCAGGGCATCAGAAAGCCTTGCCTAACCAGAGACCATGCCCACAGCTGACCATGACCTTGGCATCACCAGCACACCCAACTACATCAATTTTTGACATGAGTGGGTGGACTGGGAAAGGACAGAACATTCCAAAATGTTTATATCACAAATGAGAGTGGATTCAAGCTGTGTTTTAATCCTGTGGCCTAGATTTGACTACCCTTGTTCTAGAATAACTGATCAAAAACCTCAAGTTCCCTGTATTCTATTATGTATTCTGCTATTTTGCCGCCTTTGTGAAGGACTAAGACCAGTCACAGCCCAGATATAGCAAATCAAGCTCCTGTTTGCAGACACAGACTTGGCAACATGCATTAACTGAACATAGTTCTTTCATCAGGCAACACATCATGTGCTGTCTCAGTCACATTCTGAGCTAGAAGAGAAATATGCACATACTTAAAGATCTTTGGGGCCCATGAAAGTGCTTATTTCTTAACACCAAACTTGTTTATTTCCATTCTTTAGTTTGCCTCTCCCAGTATGACCAAAGAAACAAAGAAGAGCTGCTTATTATTAACATGTTTCGGTCTTCGTAAATGAGTAGAAACACACAAAGATGACTCACTTTTGGTGTGCTGTAGCTCGAGCCTTACTCCATCCAGAATTTTAAGCACTAGACTCTGGTTGAATTGGAGCAAATGACTTGTGGAGAGCTAAGATGAAAGAGGGAAAATTCTGGCAATGTGGGTAGAAATCATCCCTTTGCTTCCTGGATGCAGTATGGCTTGGTATAGAAAGAAGGAAGAAACTAAAACTACTCCATAACAACCTTCATATATTCTTTTTTAAATTAGAACTTAATTAGATCACATTTTTTCCATTATAAGGACCAAAAATCTGCAAAGAAACATGACAACAAGATCCTAAATAATTGGTTTAGCTATCACTTTGTATGCTTCCCCTTTCATTTTTTGTGTTTGCTTAAGATACACTACATATCTGGAACAGCACAGTTTGCCAAAAGTATGGTGTAATTTTTTATGTTTCAGGGCATCCCTCGGGCCTTTAGAAAAGTAGAAAGTACCAAATACTCTTTTAATTCAGGAAGATCATTCTGAAAAGATTAATTATAGTCTAAAAAGACAGCATTGTAAATTCCCTCTGGTGCTTGTTAAGGCCTCTGCACAGGTTTTCTCCCTTTTTTCAACATCCCTCACACAAGCAGCATCAGTTACACTGAAAGCTCTGGCATAAAGGGGCACGGCTGCCTTCATCTTGTGTCATCGAAATTCATTCTAGTGACAGGGTTGCAAAGTGCTTATGTATTGCTTCTGCCTTGTAGGCACTGAGCACTAGCAGATTTTTTTTTTTTTTTAGGTAGACATTTCATTATGAGGACTTTCAGTGTGTAAGCTTGGGCTTGCCTACATTATATTCCAGCTCAGCCATCTTGCTTGTTGTCAATAATCTAAAAGGTAGTAAATGTGTGAGTTTCCAACCATTCTGGGAAATATCTTTGTGTTGTGTTTGTATCTTGAACATTCTAGTTAAGACTGAAGTTCCAGAAAAGCCAGTCTGTTACATTCAGGTTGTATATGTCATTAAGAAGCAAGGAATGCAGAGAATATCCATTAAAACCTGTTCCATAAGCAACTCCAGACTGAGAAAGCCAGGAGTGAATAAAAATGAGAGTGACTTTTATCTTCAGCATCCTGAAGTCCTACAAGCTGATGGAAAAAAACCCAGGGCCTTTGTGTTACATAAAACAGCATTACATGGTCTAACAAAAACCTGTTTTTGAAGGGGAGAATGTAGTTCAGAAAATAATGGTGTTTTGGGGAAATGATTTTTGAACCTGTATTTAAAGCTAATGCAAAGGTACAGATTCATATAAAAGCAGGAATTTGGGCATAAGGAAAGGAAACAATAATATTTCATGAACAATAAAACTAATTCAAGAAAGTACTGTCCTTGGTCAAAGATTTTTTTTCATGATTTGCACTGACTGCTTCATAAATTTGCCAATAAAAGCTGAACTCCCACTTCAGCCATACCTTATAAATAAAAGTCTCTCCATTGTGGCTGTCTGTTTTCATGAAACTTGCTGGAATCCAGTATCTTTGAGCTTATTCCTCTCCATCACATATGGTTGAATTTGGCCAATGGTCTCAAAACTGACTGTGGTGGGGAAAAGGAAACAGGCAAACATAGCAAAAGCACACTCATAAAAACTTGTTTCCTTCTGAGGATGGGGAAATTCATAGATGATGAATTTAGAGAGTACTTCTTTCCAGGAGTAGGAGAATGGGAACTATATTGTAAATACCCTTTAGAAAATAAAGTCTGTTTACCATCCCTATGGTCTACCACTATATTCTAAAATGTAACTTGGTTTCTGCTTTTCTTGGCTTCATTCTATTTCCTGGATAATATAATAATATTAAGAAAATGAACACTCAGGTTTTCCCTCTCGAGGGCCTATTTCAAAGGAAATAGCCAAAAGGCCCTAACAGTCAATACATTCAGCAATTCTCCAATCACCCTATTAATCTGCAATTGGACAACATTGGTCTGGCTGTAGGACACTCGTGATAACCAGAAGACCTCTCCAAGTCCTTTCCAGCCCTTTCTCATTCCCTGCTTATGCACACTGACTAGTTCTGTTCCTAAATGGTAATTAAGGATCAGATCCTTTGACTAAAATTTTACTTGGTCTATATACAAACATAGCTTGGTTTCTGTGGTTCCAAACTTAGTGAAATTAGCACGAGATGTACACTGGATGTATATGGGCTACCTCATCTCTTGCCATTGCTCGTATTTTCAAAGAACATATTCACTCTCTTCCCACCTGATGAACGAGCTGCCAGAGAAAACACTCTGGAGGAATCCAGCTTCTAAAAAGGTTGATGTAGGATGCAGCCCTGATGCATCTGTCAGGATTTGAAGACAGATGTTGACTCCCCTGCCCTTTATCTGGCTTTGCATCATTGACCACTGCACTCCTGTTTTTACAAAGCTGGGCGGGAGGAGTTGCAATTTTAGCTAAGAAACTGCCATGCAAGGAATTCAGCACTTGTGTTGCAAAACCTGAAGAACACCAGTGTCCAGGGAGGAGCAAACAACTCTACAAATGCACAGAGAGCATCGATGCTGGCATCCTGCTCATGAACAGAAATGGCTCCTTCAAACGGAAATGATCCTGGAGGGCAAGACAATCATATTGTTTGCACATTGCAGGTAAACTGTGTATCACCATGGCCTTCTCTGTGGGGAACCTAAAGACCTCCAGCCTGCACTGCTACTGCCTTTAGACACTCCTGTTCATTTTGACATTAAATGCTGTCAGACTGATGGAGATGATAGAGAGATGGAGATGATAATCTCCAGCAGAGCTTTCATGTGCAGGGAATACAGGATGGGGCTTGACATACTGAAGTAAATTCATAAAGTGACCTCTATCAAGAATATGCCAAGAGTAAAATCTACCATAACAGGACTGTCTTGAAATGCTAAGTGTGTACGACACCATTCTCCTGTCAAAGAATTAATTATATGTTAAATAATTACATATTAAACAACTCCGCAACGTAATATTTAAATTTCAAATAACTTCTTCAAAAACATTACAATGTTTACCAGCCTGCTCTCAGGAGCTTGCACAATGACTTATAAAAACCACAGAAGAAACTCATCCAGAGCATCAGAGTGCTTTGTATGACCCAGAGTTATGCATTCAGTAAGAACAGATGGAAAAGGATAATTGAATTCCAGGCAAAAAGAGCATTATTTGAATGAAACTTTGCAGTAAAATTAAGTACTGCGGGACATGACAAGGAGTCAATTCTGGATGGGAGACAATGACAGAAAACAGTTCTTGATTCAGCAGCAAGAAGTTTGCTGGAAGGAGAGAGAAGAGACAGAGGGAAGGGGGAGACTCCGTCTCCAGGAAACAAGCTGGAAAGAAGTCCAAGGAGCGAGGGTGTGGTTTGAAAAACAAGGAGTACAATTTCAAACTGGATTCTGAAGCAAACAGGGCAGTCAGTGCAGGCCTTGAGATAAATGAAATGCAAATTTTCTCCACCAGAGACTGAATCAGAACTTTTTGAGTTGTGACACTCTGTCATTGCTGTACCAAAACATCTTTGTGCTGCCACTGCTGATCCAGCATTCCTAAGGTTTGCATTTATCTGTTAGGCAAAAAACGTTGATGCTCCTACGGTGCCAGGCAGCACTCAGCTGACAACTGAAGTGGATCAACATCCTGTGTTCAGTGCTTTGCCACATGCAGCAGCTCTCCAGCAGTTTGCAGTGATCATGCACAAGGATGTGTAAGTCCAACCCACAGATTCCTTGTTTCTTGGAGCTGCAATTTGAGGAACACTCCAAGTGTTTGTGTGTTCCCACTCAAGCAGGTCTCCTGTAGTGGATGCTTTCTCATACAGGCCAGAAGATGTGCCAGTGACTTTTTTACCTTTTTGAATCAAAACAGCAAAGTGGCCAAACATTTGGGAATTGAATACTTGTGTAGTTAATCAGTGGTTTGAGCGGATGTCGTTGAGCAAGAATCCGAGAGAAACATTTAAAAGAAATGCACATTGCTTTTTCAGTGAGACTTCCTTGGCTGATTCTGTGGGAAGAAGACTGGGAACATACATACAACATTTTTCCATGTAAATAACAGCCCCTCCAAGACAAGACTGTAGTTCTTCTTAAACACTGGAAAAAGAGCATCAGGCTGCCATCAATAGGATGAGCCAGAAACCCAAATATTTGGATGAGAGCAACTTTTGAAAAAAATAGAGAAACATTTACCAGGAGCCTTTCCATTCGCATTGTTAAAGGATTTTTAGGGATTACACCCTTCTCAGCTGCTGAGTGCTGTGGCTCTGCCTTGTACAAAGGAGCAGGGGGGTAGCAGTCAGCTAATCACAGGGGCACTAACACAGCAAACTATTAGAGACCTTTTACATTCCCTTTTAACAGACTATAGACTGTAGGAAAAATACATTAAATAAGGCCAGTAGTGCCTTTTCATTGAGAGACCTCAAACTAAATATAGAAAATAAGGTTAAAAGACTCAGTTAAAACATCCATGCACACAGCTAACAGTGCAGAGGTCAGTTTCTTTAGCTGTGGAAGCTCAGCAGGCTGCAGAGTGAAGAAAAGATGGTAAAACACTTTTCCTATTTTTTTGATTTGTGGCAAAATATCCAACTTTCAGCGCACTCTTCAGAGCCGATCACATTCACAAAGAATCCAACCCTTGGGATCAACAAAGCCAGGTCTTATAAAGGACAGATATTTAAACACAGAGCAGTGCAAAGAAGGTACAAATGAGAAAGACATCAGCAGACAGAAGTGTGGCAAAGCACTTTTACATAAAGTGAGATACTTTTTTTACTACAGAAATTATGGGATGTTGTAATTAGGATTTCGCCAGCTGGGAGTGGGCATGAAGGATTATATTATTAAAATTGGAGTGAAGAAAGATAACAGACCTTTAATTTTAATTAGACTTTAAAAGAGCCTCAGTTTCCTTAGCCAGTGATCTTTCTAGTTCATGGCAGCAGCTTAGTGCCAGACTACTAAGATTGCACACATTACACAGTGACTTTTGTGCATTTGTAATTCTTAATAATAAAAATATTTCAGAGACAAATCTGTTGCTTCTTTGTCACTATTTTCTTTAAAATATTAAGGATATAAAAACGTATCTCATAACTATGTACACTACTTAAGAGGTACTACTTAATTTGTACAATGAGTGATGAAAATATGTGGTTTGTTTTTGTTTTTTTTTTAAGAAATAGATCTAAATTAGCAAAAGTAGGAGCTGTAGATGTAGTTAATTAGCATCCATAAAGTGAATGAGAGGGAGGGAAGTTGACAGAACATGCTCACTATACTAAAATGGGCTGGTGACAGATACGTCCTGATGTCCCACTGGTAGTCTGTCTCTGCAGCACTGCTGACTTGCCTTCATTTAGAAACTCATAACCCACCAAAATTAAACTGCAACTAACAAACCTACAGAGCAAATGCTACTCAAACCCCTTTGGACCACATAAAGGTTATTTCCACTTTACCTCCAGTTCTTCTTCGTTCTTTTGAGAGACCAGACCTTGGTGCATAACCCCAATCCTGAGTCCTCTGAGGAGAGCTACAGATCCCAGATTTCTGCAGGGATGGGGCTTTAGCAGCCTCTCATTCCTACCCACCTGTTCAATGGGCTGTTCAGTGTTTCCTCAGTCCCACTGTAGACCGACCATTCTTCACCAAGGGATCCCCATGGCTGCAGCCTGTGGCCGTGTGTGCCAGTAGTAACCCAGGTGTCTCAGCAAGCCATGCCTATTATCCCTTTGGAAACTTAACCCAGTTTTGGCAATTCCCATGTATTAAAAATGAATGAGGTTAAGTGAAAATAATGAGGTTTTAAATTGTAATGTATATGAAATTGTTTTAATCTGCCTCTGGTTTTGAGGCTTCGGGGGTCTTTTGTTCAGCTTTGTATTAGAGATTGTCCTATAATCTTGTGCTTCCCAGAGCTGAGCTCTCTGGGAAAATGTGAACAATGCAATGCTCTGGATAAAAGTGCCAGAGCCAGCCCCACTGCAGCTATTTCCACCTCAAAGGATTACTGTAATTTAGGAAAAGTATAATAGCACTAACATTAACTTCACCTCCCTCATATAATGCTAATGGACTGACTAGGAGTGAGAGTAAAGAAAAAAAAGGTGTTGATGAATCTCTTGCATGTTGGACCCTTCACCTCTCAGTTATTGAATAGCTTCCAACTCACAATGTCAACTCTTGGGGAAGGAGCACGATTTCTATTTAGAAATTGAACAGGGCAGAACAGTTTTGGATTACTTTCGTAGCTGGTAACTGGTCATAAACCCCCTCACCTATCTTTGGGCATGACTGCAGGGAGCAAAGCCCACATGGTGCTAGGTTAAGCCGGTGGGTGATGGGCCAAGAGCAACCATCTGACCCAGCCAGAAGCCAGTGCCTTTGGGGTTCTGGGGCTGCCAAGGAGAAGGAGAAGCGTTGCACTTTGGCACGGCCAGTCAAATTACAGCAGGTGCCAGGCAGGCAGCTCCCGGCTCCCAGTGCCACCAGGCAGGTCCTGGGTGTTCCCTGCCTTAGTCCTCACTCCGGCGGGACGCCCGAGGCGCTGAGGGAGCATCGCGCCGGCACCGCCGCGCGGCTGTTGGGAAGGGAAGGGAGATGCCCTGAGGGTCGGTGTGAGGGTGGGCCGGGACGGACCCCGGGGGCTGGTGTGAGGGTGGGTCGGGAGAAACCCTGGGGCATCGGGGGGCAGCCCCGGGGGATCGGGGTGAGGATGGGTCAGGAGAAGCCCCGGCTCGGGCTGAGGATGGGTCAGGAGAAGCCCCGGCCCGGGTGAGGGTCGCCGGCAGCAGCGCCGGAGGGAGCCGGGGAGGGGGCCGCGTCACGTGAGCGCGTGTGGCAGCAGCGGAAGGATACCTGCACTCTGACAACCCCTCCCGCCCCTCTCCTCTGGCCGTACCGCGGCGGAGACCACCCGCTCCTCACAGCCCCGTCCTCAGCCCGTGCCCTCAGCGGGAGTGAGGGATAGCGGGGCAGAGGAAGGCGGGAGGGTGAGGGCGGGCGAGAGGCGGCGGCGATGGGCGGAGGAAGAAGCGCGGCAGGGAGGGACTATTTGAGGAGACCCTGGCAGGCTGTTGAGGTGCGGAGTGATCCCGGCGAGTGAGCGGCCCCGCGCTCAGGCCGAGGAGGGCGGCGGGGCGCCGGGCGCCATCCCAGCGAGGGCTCAGCGCTTGCGCCGCTCCCGCCGCCGTGAGGGGAGTACCGGCGGCCGCCCCGCTTCACTGCCCGCCCGTGCCCCTGCCCCGGGGAGCTCGCCCCCAGCCATGGCCCAGATACTGCCCATTCGCTTCCAGGAGCACTTCCAGGTGAGCGCAGGAGGGCAGTGGAAAAGGCGCGGGGTCGCAGTCCCCGTCTTATGCCTCACTCCGTCTCTAGGAGAGCGGGGGGCCGCGGCCTAGGCGGGCCGGGGGAGCGCTGAGAGCGGGGAGAGGGGGCCAGGCCGCGGGGGGACCTTCTCAGTCCCCTCCTTCCTTCCCTCCGGAGCGCGGCCGCCGTTTCGCCGGGCGCCGTGGGAAGGCGCGCGGGGACGAGCCCGCCCCCGGTGCGAACTCTGGGCTGCTGCTTCTGTTCATCCGTCCGTCCGTCCATCCTTCTGTCCCCGGAGTTGCGTCCCCGCGGCGCGGCCGCGATTTGTGCAGAGTCACTCGTCGCCTGAGGGACCTCCCGCTCCGGGGAGGGGGCGGCGCCGCGCCGGAGCCGCGCTGCTCTCCCCGGGCACCGCGGGCGCTCCCCCGCCTCGGCTCGAGTGGACGCCGCAGTCTTGCAGGCGGGTTGTGGTTTCTCTCTTTCCCCTAAACGACCATCAACCTCTGGATCGCGAAGGTTCCTGGGAACCTCTTTTTGTGCAGCTGTGAGGAAATTGGTGAGATGAGGTGCAAGAAACAATTTGGTCTTGGAAGCTGTACAGCCACTGTTCCTCCTTCCAAACATAACAATGTTAAAAAATCCTCCCCCAAAATGACATGGTTCTGTTCTTAATATCCTGTGAAGACCATAGTGCCAGCATTGGAAAAGATCCATAGCTAATGGATGCAGCACAGACAAACCCGTTTATGTGTTTCCTTGTGACCTGGTGGTGAGGGAGATTTGTAAATGGAGTGAAAGAACAGCAGTCTCTGAACGTGCAGTTTGAGGCAGGAATTAAAGGAATTTGCTAAATGAATGAGAGAACAGGAAGTGGACTTGGCAAGTCATCCTTCTGTCGCTGTACCGCCCCTTTCTGTCAAATCAGGCATGCATTTCAAAATACGAACTAGATATCACCCCCCAGTGTGGACTGCATGTAGCTCCAGGCATTTCAGTTTGGGCAACGGTTATGGCTGCTTCTCAGCTCCCTTTGGTATGTATTTTTTTGCTTAACTGGAAGAACTGTCCTGGTGACCCTAGAAGGAGCTCTAGCCAGAAAAAAAACTAGTAATTATAGTGAATTCCAGAAATTTCTAATTTCTCTGTCCAAGGAAGGATACACACCTGTGTCCTCTGAGTTTTCATGGGTTAGGAGAGTTTAACATGGTGAAGAATTCTACCACCCCCTCCCTGCCAGTGTCCACTACAGCAGTGATTATAGTAATCTCAGATAGGTTCATAAGAGCTGCAGAACAGCTGTCTGACTAAAAAACTTGGGATCAAAGTGATGGTGTTGTCAGACTCTTTTTAGAGACCGTATAGTTCTTACCATTTAAAACTAGCAAGCATAACCAATCCTTCTGATTGTGTTTGATCTATACAGTAGCGATGAGAGGACATCACACTTAATATGCAAGAGGTGTCCTGTGCTGCTTTGCACATTAAATGACTGTTTCTGTGATTACCAGTGTTGTGTGTCTTGCAACACCACCAATGTCAGCATTGTGCTACCTCAGGTTTGGGTGGGGGTGGACTGCCCACCTGCTTTTCAAGGGTTTTGTACTGTAGTCATATTCTATTTTTTGCTCTTAAGCAATTTGATCTTATTGAAAAGGCTAAACCTGTGCTTGAGTTACTTTTTCTCAGCATGAAAGCTGCACGGAGGAGGGGGGGGAACCCTGGGATGTCAATTCCTAACATGTAGGAGCAAACTTCTTCAGCATTCACTCTTTCCTGCTTCTCCCCCAGACTGAGTGCAGGAGCCCTAAAGCAGTACTCTGCTAAAGTGAGACTGAAATCAGTAGTAGCTGGGAGTAGGCATGCAGTAGTTTCCTCATGCTGCTTCTGCAGTTGTCCCTACATGGTGGGATAAATAGGGAGGGAAAATGGAAGGAATGTAGGAACTCATAGTGTTTGCTCTGGCTGGATATCTGCAGTACAGTTATATCAGCTCTAACTCACTGTATGTTCTAAACTAAAATCAAGAGTCATGAATTAATGGTACATGGCGCTTGTTGTTGTCTGGTAGAGAATTTGTGAAAACATTAGACCTTCTCTTCATAATACTACACTGTCACACAGATTTAGCCTTATCAGATTAATCTCTCTCCCCCCCTCACATTTCTTCCAAATAATTGTCTTGACTATGGTTATCATACTTTAAATTAATATGGTAAATCTACGGTGTTGCTTTATGATAAAGCCAAAAAAGTTACAATTCCATGTAATTGTTGTGTGTGCAGTGATCCCAAGTTGTAAGATCTTTCTGTGCCTTCAATCTGTGTACTGTTCCTACCTGTAGCCTTTTTAATTAATACAGCTGTGAGTGGTTAGAATATCAGTTAGTGTTATAATTAATTCCAGATTCAGCCTGTTGCTGATGAAACATTATTTCCCTTAAGTTCAGTGTCTTCCCAAGATAGTTGTATGCACTTTACTAAAAGAAGGACTGAGGCGTGCAGAAAGTGTTCTCCAGAGAAGCTAAACATAAATTGCAGTGCTAAATACTGAACTCGTCTCTCCCACTCTGTCTTGCTGGAAGTGGATAAATGGTAGTGTGAAGTGAAACAGTGATCTTGGTCCATGCAGAATTGGAGGAGTTCTAGGGATCAAGCAGACTGTTTACATTCTTTGTGCAGCTCATTTTGTCTTCTGTTGATCATCCTTCTGTAGTAGCTCTAAGCCTGTGCAGGAGGAGTGACTGCCAGTCACAGGGCACATTAAATTTGAAGTTGTTACAGCTTGTGTGTTCAAGTCCCGTGTGAGCTGAAGGATAGAGAATAGTTGCACTGAAAAAAAAGATATCCAGTCTTGATGTGGTAGAAGGAATTCTGTCTGGTGTTTTTAGCTCCATTTGATGCAATTTAACAGTTATTTTTAGATATGAACTCTGTCACTATGAGTCTTCACAAATTCATAAAGAACTTTCATCTTGCTCATTTTTTCCCAGAGGATATTGGAGTTTAAGTTCCATAGCAAGGGAGGGGAATAAGACAAGGAATTAGTTTTTATCTGTCTGGTGACTGCCCAGCTGCAGCAGTGCAAACTATGCCAAGTCCTGCTGCAGTGTGTTACTCTTGCATACTACTTAAGCTAATGTGATTTAATCAGGTTCTGAACGCCAGCTTTTCTGTTGGAGCAGTGAATTATAAATTATTTGCCAGTTTGAACTCTTTCAAGGGAATTGTAGTTCTTTGAGGTGCAGTAAAAGACCAAATACACTGGTAGATAGACTGTAAGCAGTACTACTGGAATCCAGTGTACAAAGTGTTCCTGATCTAAAATTAAACTTCTCCTTCACTTAGTCATTGCTTTTGTCTTAAAAACATCTCTTTGTGCCTCTTTGAGCATTTTTCTCACTAGCAAAAATCTTTGCTTGTCTATGGGGAAAACTCTTGCTTAAGCAAGACCTTCGGTTCCAAGATTGGAGCTTTCATCCCTTCAATGCCCAGACACATAGTTCTGCTGGCTATTCAGTAACTAATACAGACTCTGAGCACAGCCAACTACTGTGAGAAAACCTGTGTGCATGACGTGCTCTCAGTGTGTAAGTGCTCGATATCTTGGTGCAGCACTGACAAGATAAAACATCCTGGTTTTAAGCATAAAGGATGTAGATTGATTTCCATCATTTTTGAGACAAAACCACTTTCTGTTGGGATAATCTGACTTGTTTTATTAAGAATTACTACCTGTTGTGCAATAGGCATGACTGAACTGGGTGGTTTTCATAAGTTTGCTTTGGCTGGATATGTGCATTTAAGCACTCGAGAGATTTGCAGACTGTAAGTGACTTTTTAGATTTGTATTCAAAAGGTAGGGCTAAATATTATGACAGGTTTCCCTAATAATAACGATGGCAGTGATACTCGAGCAGAATTTAGCATTACCTTTTCTGAAGCCTTTGCTAGATTTTATACTGTGTTAAAGCAGGAAATTTTAATACCAGAGTGTGATGCAAAATCATACTTGTCTTAGTGAAGATAAGCAAAACATTTTCTTCAACAGGGACCAGTCTTTGAAATGAATAATGGTGGGCTTAAAGATGAACTTAAGGAAATGCCTCAAGGTTCTCACTTTACAAAATGAGTGGCCAGGGGCTGTCTCTTGAAGAGTAGGTCAAATTGAAGCACACTAATTGAGAAGAGACCTTGAAAAACCTGTGTTTCTGCTTCAATACTCTGGGAATACATCTGAATTTGGATTAATTAAATCAAGTTAGGAACTTAGCTGTGCTTCACTTAAATCTCTTGACTACTCTTGTGACTCTTAATGGACTATACTCTCTTGGCAGATGGACTCAGAACATAGTCAGCATCAAAGTGCCTAAGTGTCAAATACGTGAGTGTGTAATTTGTGAAAATGTGTGGACATTGTGTGGTGTAGAGCAAGAACAGTGGAATTAAGAGCTCTATTAAGAGCCGTCTGTTGTTGAAGGTCACAGAAGTTGATGGAGCTACAGCTTGCATGTTTATTGTGTGCTAAAACATTGTGTGTTACATATGAAAGTACACGAGTTGTCTTGGTGTGAAAACTTCTTTCCTTACCGACACAGAAACCTGTAATAGCCACCTACCTGGCAGATTTGTTTTCAAAAC